AGCAGCCTGGATGGGGGCAGAGCCGGGGGTGGGGCTGGTCCCTACCTGTACCGCGGATCATCCACAATCATCTTCATAGCCAGCTCCCACGACGTGTTGGAGGGGACGCCCTGAAGCCAAATGCTGGGACTCAGATGGGACCGGGACAGCCCCCGCAAATAGGCCCCTCGCCCTGGCCAGCCCCACTTCCCCCCGAGCAAGCCCCCCGGCTCCCTGCTCTTGTACCTTGTCCTTCAGCAGCTCCTTAAAGGCCAGCTTGGCCTCCTCCTTGGTGCTCCAGTTGAAGGCGCTCCTCTCCCCGGCCCCCGTCTCCTCCTCCTCACACCGGCCGGGGTCAGCACTGCGCCGGGAACACAGACACCGGGCTCACAGTGCAGAACGCCCAGGGAGCTGCGGGGGGAGCGGGGGAAGGGCCCCGGCTGGGCTGGGGCGACCCGCCTGCCTCAGTAATAGCTTAGGGGAGCAGGGGAAGGCGGGGCCGTGGGTCAGGACAGAGAGAATTCCCTGCCAATGGCAGGGGAACTGAGCTGGAATCCCCCCCCAGGGCAGTAGCCGGGGCCCATCACTCCCCATTGGGGGAGGGGGCATCTGACTGTCTCCCCACCTGCATCCCATCTCCCTTCCGCTCTCTGGAACAGGCCCTGGCGCCCCTGCAAGCTGTGTGTGCCCGGCACCCACAGACGCCAGCTGGCCCCCAGGCCCAGTGCCCGCGGAACAGCTGGCCACACAAACGCCCCCCAATTCCTGGCGGGGTCCCTGCTTGACACCCCCCTGCCCCGTCACCTGCTGGTCACTTCCTCCTGCTGCAGGGCCACCTCCTCCAGGCCTTCCATTGTGGCCCCCAGCACAGGCGTGTGCTCCTCCCCGCCCGGCGCCTCCGTGTCCGTGCTGGCGGACGAGGACAGGCTGGGGCTGGAGGCTGCTGATGGGGTCTCCTGCTGCTTCCTGGAAGAGCAGAGAAGGCTGGAGCCTGGGGCTGGTGGGACTGGGAGAGGGGCCCACACAGCCCCTTGGGGGCCAGACCTCTGGGCTCACAGCACTGTGGGGCCCACCACCCTTGAGGGGCAGGGGGGCCCCTGGAGACCTCACGCTGGGGTGTGTGGCTCTGCCTTGCCCTCCCCATGTCCCCACAAGGGAGGTACCTGCCCTCGAAACCCATACACCAAGCAGATAGGTCCCTGCTAGCACCCCCGCCTACGCCGGAGTGGGGGCCTTCCTGAGGGCCCCATCCCCCTCTGGCCCCTGGGGGCAGTGCCACCCTGCTCTTACCGCCCCGGCTCAGAGCTAACGGGTCCAAGCCCAGCGGGCAGATGCCAGCCACTCACCCTGCCTCCTCCTCGTCGATGAGCGCTGCAAGGAGGGAAAACAGAGAGCCCGGCCGTTACTCGGGGCAGCGCCCGGTGGCCAACGGGGGGCGTCATTTCGAGGGGCTCTGCCTTCGTGCCCAGTGCCTGCCAGGGGTTGAAGCTGCTCCGGGGGCCAAGCAGGAAGATTGAGGCCAGGGGCATGTGGCTAGCTAAAGACTGGCTGCGGCAGACCCATTTTGGCAGAGCCCCCAGGGCTCCGTCTGTGCCCGGAGCTGAGCAAGGCCGTGAGGGCCCAGCCAGGCTCTGTGGCAGGATGAGAGCCGGAGAGGTGCTGGCGGCTGGGCTAAGCACTGGGCTCCAAGACACAGGCTCCCCATGACCACGAGACAGGAGCAGACAGAGACAGGTAGATCCATAGCAACTGGCTGGTGGGGTCCGACACTGGGCAGCCTCGGCTCCGGCTTCTGCTCCGGCTCCCTGTGCCGCGCCCAGAATGCCGGGGGCCGCGTCTGCAGCAAACAAGCCTCTGCTCCGAACAGGCTGCTGGGCTGCGGCGGGTCCCCCTGAGCGCGGAGCAGGAGCCTGGCGCAGCGGGACTCGCTGGGCAAAGACACGGGAGGGCTGGAGCCCGGAAGCCCAGGCTCGGGGGCCTGCCCTCGTGACAGACACGATCCCTTGGGGGTCGGGGACCACTCCAAGGCCGGGGCACGGTGAGACCCCTAGGGCACTGGCTATACCAGCCTGCCCAGGTGGCGGTTAGCCTGCAGCGCAGGGACTCTGCCTAAATTCCCGAAGGCGTGGCTGCCCTGGCCCCCAGCTCCCTAGGCTCCCAGCCCCTTTACCCTCCAGCTCGTCCAGGTCCCGCGGCTTGGTCCAGCGCGACTCTTTGCTCTGGGAGTTGTAGTAGTAAGATTTGCCCGTGTCGGACTTGTACTCCCTCCAGGGGCACTGGGATATCAGCAGCTGCAGAGGCAGAGAGCAGGGCGCTTTGAGCCAGGGGCTATTAACGCCCATGGAGAGGGCACCGACAATACCAGGGGTTAGAGCAGGGGAGCTGGGAGCCACAGCTCCCTCTCTGCCACGGGAGAGGGGCAGGCTAGCGGCTCACAAGAGCTGAGACCTACATCCTCATGTTACATTCTGTCTCCCTGACGGGCGATCACTCGTCGCCGAGCAGGATCATCTTCCACAGGACTTGCGGCCCCTCAGGGGGTGGATGAAGCCGATCCTTGAGCCACAAGTTCTACTACAGTGAGGATGGATGTTTCCAGGTACAGCACGAGACTGTTGGCCATGACTAGAAGCCAGTCTCCCCCTCCCCCTGCGTCTCTAGCAAGTCCTTATAAAGCGTCCGTTGTCCTCCCACGTTACGGTACGTTCAGCTGAGAAAACAGGCCCTGTCTCAGGAGATGATGGTCTGGCATCCGAACCACAGGACCAGTCCAGCGAAGCTGCTGACGGACGAGCGTTGCCTCGAAACTGGTGGGCTTAGCCTCTTCCAGAACATGGCTGTTCGTGCGCCGGTCTTCCCATTTGATCTTCAAGAACTTGCAGAGGCAGCACTGGTGATACCTCTCAAGGACTTTCAAGTGATGTCTGTGGGTTGTCCAGGTTTCAGACCCATACAACAGTGTTGGGAGAATGACGGCTTGACAGACAAGAAGTTTAGCGTCTGTTCGAATGTCGTGATCTTGCCGTAAACGAACAAAGGCCACGCTGGCCCAGCTCAGACGACGTTGGATGTCTACATCCATATCTGCCGTGCATGAGCGAGAACTCCCAAGCTAGAGAAAATGCTCAACGATCTCCAACGCTTTTCCATTGATTTTAATAGATGGGGCGCACGGAACCTCATTTGGAGATGCAGCACTTTGGTCTTCTTGATGTGAAGGGCGACACCAAGACATCAGCAAACACATTCAAGAGCGTTTGAAGAGTTCTCTCATAATGGGCAAAAACTGCACTGTCATCCGCAGCCTGAAGTTCCACAGACTGATAGATGTGATGGGGATCTTACTCTTAGCTTTCAGCCTGCTAAGCCTCAACAGCATCCTACCTGTTCTGTAGATGATTTCAACGCCAGCCAGGGGCTTCCCAGCAACTAGGTAAAACACCCCGGCAATAAAGACTGTGGCCGCGACGATGCTGTTTCACTCCCGTTTATACTTTGAAAGGTTCCCTCGGGGAGCCAGTGCTGCTCAGAACAGTCACTTTCATGTTGTCATGAAGCAACTTTAGGACACTGGTGTCTGCCTCCCTAGTCTACTCCTGGCTACAAACACACATTTCCAGCTGGTCTCTGGTGTTGCTGTGTAGCTGTCACTCAGCTGTGGGCCCCACCCCAGAGGTGGCTGCATCTCAGTGCTGGGCGAAGGGCTCTGAAGGAACTCACCTCTGCTTTGGACTTCAGCTCATCCGGCTTCTCCCAGGTGGACTGCTTGGAGTTGCAATTGTAATAGTAAATGCGTCCGTCTGGGGCCCTGTGCTCGCTCCAGGGGGGCTTCTGGGCACCACAAGCAAGAGCAGGGTCAGGAATGTCCAACCAGCCCCCCACAGCTGCCCTCCTTGGGCCACACAGCTCAGCAGGGACCCTGCCCCGACCTCCTCCCTGTATGGGCCTGATCCTGCTCTCACTGCAACCAGCAACAAAACCCCAGATGACTCCCAGTTGGTCAGGATGGGGCCCATGCTGGAAATGCTGGTATCACTCACCTCCCTGGCACAAGAGGCAGGCGGCGAAGCGCCAGGGCCCCCTGTGGCAGGGTCAGGCCCCCGGCAGGAAGTGGCGTGTTTGGCTTTTCCTGGTGGTTGTCCCACTTCCTCCCGCAAGGGGTTAAGCTGGGACCGGGCTGGAACATGCACCCCCAGGGGGTTGAAATGGCCCCTCCACTTGGAGGGCATTTCTGTGGCTCCTGACACGCACCCTGCCCACAGCGCCCCCCAGAGCCACCGGGAAAGGACACACCCGCCCCACGGTACCTTGCGGGGGGCATCCTGCGCTGGGGAACCACTGCCCATCAGGCTATGCTGGACGGGGGCCACCATGGGATTCGGGAGCTAATGGGCACAAAGGTGACAAAAATCAACCCCTCTTCCGAACTCAGCCGGGGCCCCGTCCCGAGCTGCAGCCCCCTGCTAGCCCTGCCCTGGGCTCCCAACAGCCCCCTCACGTCCGGGCCACAGTGGGGATGTCAAAAGTCCTTCAAAAATGTAACCGTGTAACCTCTACCAGCCCCAGCGGTTACACTTGCTGCGGCCTCTGCAGTATAAAGATTTTATAGACGAGCTTTAGACTGCAGCGAGGCCTCCCTGGAAGCGGGGAGCCAGCGTGTAACCTGTGGTGGGAGGGCTGGGCTGGGCCTGCATGGACAGGGCTAGACGGCCCGAGCAGCCCCTGCCTGCTCCAGGCCCTATTGGTTAACCGGTTAACCATTTACATCCCTAATCCACGGTGCTGCACGTGCCCTGGGCTCTGCCCTCCCCCGGCTCTGCTGGGCGCTTGGGAGGCCACTCAGGAGACTGAAATGCCACCCAGCAGATTAGTGGAGCCTCGAGGTAGGTTTTGTGTTCTGTGGGTGGTGCACATTCACACATGCCTTGGTGCACAGAACATTATTCTGCACATTGATGGGAAAGATTAGAGGGAACACTGACCAGGGCCCCTGAATCCTGACCCACAGACCTCAGTTCTGAGCTCCCCCTCTCCCAGGGTTCCTCACTCCTGACCCATAGCTCCCTGCTACGCCTGACCTAGGCTGCCCCCAGCTCTTCTGGTGCCCCTCACTCCTGACCCACAGCCCTGGGAGGGAGCATGCGCTGCCACATTGCTGAGCACTGATGGGGGGAGGGGCCTACTCACTGTGGGTGCCGGTTGGGCCGGAGCAGCTGGAAAACAAGAGCCATGTGTTACTGGGTGGGGGCGGAGGGGCTGCCAGGTGTTGCCATCGGCCTGGGAGCTACAGGCTCCCAAGAGAGACTGGCAGGGCTGGACACCCAGCCTCATTCTCAGGATCCATCGGGCTCCCCTCAGGATCCGGCCTGACTCCCAGGTGCCCCCCGAGACGCAGAAATGTTTTACCCTCCTCCCTGAGCTGCTGGGGGCGGTGGACCCTCCAGACAGCTTCTTCCCCCCCCCCCCATGATGCACCTGTCCCCTCTCAGCAGCTCCCCCATGGTCCACCCCCCATGATGGACCCTGGCACTCACCGCCAATTGGGTCTGTCACAGGAGCCGCCTGCCAAAAGAGAAACGGGGCCATGAACCGTGGGGGCTACGGCTCAGACTCAACCAGACACCAGACACCCCCGCCCAGGGCCCCTGAATCCCTCTGCAAACGGCAGGGAGCTCAGAGCCAGCCTCCCCTGCCAGGGGGAAACTGAGGCGCAAGACCATCCAGGGACCATTCCACAGCTGCAGTGAACATGTCAGTCGCAGTACTGGAGAGAGAACCCAGGAGAGCTGGCACTCAGCCCTCACCCGCGGGTGGCATCTCAGCTCTGCTCTGGAAACAAGGACTGGGCAATGGGCCCCCATGGAGAGAGGCAGGACAAGGGCACGAGGCCCCCTCTATGTTCCACCCCCAACTCAGCCCTGGCAGCCCCCACCTGGGCACGGCTGGCTGGACAAGAGAGAGGTTCCAAGGATGCTCACCACTGCAGGGACAGGACCAGAGGGCACCCCTGGTATCAGCATCCCTGGCATCATGGGAGGCACCATGGGCGGCATCTAGGGGACAGAAATGTGGCATGGCAGGCAGCAGGCATGGCTCAGAACCTCGGCCTGGGCCCTGTGCCCACCAGTGTCTGGGGAACCCCGGAAGCATGGCTCCCATCACACGATCGGGGGAAAGGCCCAGAGAACCGACATCCGCGTGGGGCTTTTCCCAACATCTTGGTATTGAGGTTTAATAGGAAATTCGGGGCAGCCCTCGACAGAGCCTGGCCCCCTCCCCCAGGAGCACTTCTCAGCCACGTTCTCCACCTCCCGCAGCCTGGACCGGGACTGACCTGGGGCTCCCTCCTCCCCTGCTCCAACCACTAGGCCTCACTCCCCTCCCCAAGCCAGGGGAGAACGCAGGAGTCCTGGGGCTCCCTCCTCCCCTGCTCCAACCACTAGGCCCTACTCCCTTCCCAGAGCTGGGGAGAGAACCCAGGAGACCCGGGGTTCCAACCCATTAGGCCCCACTCCCCTCCAGAGCTAGGGAGAGCAACCCGGATGCCTGGGTTCTATCTCCCGCCCAGCCAAAGGGCCCCACCCGTCCAAGGTCATGGTCCTGCACTGACATTCCATCCTGAGTGGAGGCTGAAAGGGGGCCCTGGGCTCCGACCGACACCACACAGGCAAAGGGAGAGGCTTTACCTGTCCTATGGGAGGGGGCCCTGCCATGGGCGGGAGCAGAGGTGGCATCATGCCAGGGGGCATAGGAGGCATCGCTGGCGGTCTCGGCCCGATGGGAGGGAGTCCCATGGGGGGGAAGGGAGGGGGGATTCCAGGAGGAGGCAGCTAGGAGCAAGAAGAGACACACGCCACTGAAGGGACAGGCCCGTGCCAGCCAGGGACTCCCCCGCCACTGCAGCTACTCAGACCGATGTCTGGTGCCAGCCACGGGCCCAGCCTGCTCAAGGTGCAGCCAAGGCCAGCTGCATCCTTGCTCCCACCGCACCACGTCCACGCTGGGGCTTTGAACGGCTCCAATTCCCTTTGCCCGCTAATTCAGCTCAAACTGCCCCCGTCGGAGCCCGCAGAAAGCAATGAGCATGCACTGCTCATACATGGGCACACCCACACCGACCCCCTCCCCCACGCATGCCCATACGCACACACGTGTGCGCACACCACCAAGGGATTGCACGTTGCTCGCACCACGTCCACGCTGGGGCTTTGAACGGCTCCAATTCCCTTTGCCCGCTAATTCAGCTCAAACTGCCCCCGTCGGAGCCCGCAGAAAGCAATGAGCATGCACTGCTCATACATGGGCACACCCACACCGACCCCCTCCCCCACGCATGCCCATACGCACACACGTGTGCGCACACCACCAAGGGATTGCACGTTGCTCACTTCCCCTTTGCGCCGTGCTGGGGGATGGGGGGGGGGGTCACGCTGGTTTGGTTACTAAGTGATGCCGGGTGCAGGTAACTTACAAAGGGCGGAGGCATCATGGGTGGGGCGGTGGGAAATGGGGCCGGCTGCCCTGCAGGGCCGCTGCTGGAGTCCGGAGCCGACTGTCAACAGCAAGAGAGAAAAAGAAATGCAGGCACCCGCTGGAAAGAAAGGAGAGCAGAAGGGGCGGGGCGTCCCGGGTTCCAGCCCCAGCCCTGCCATGCAGTACGTGACATAGAGACTCCTCATGGAGACACATCGGATCCGATTGAATTAAAGCAGACAAGGGAAAACAAGCCAAGCGAAGGAAAGAGAAACAGACCAACGAGAAGCTGCATCTTCCCTGGCCGACAGCAGCCCAGCCGGGAAACGAACAGCACCGCTCGGCCCTTGCAGCATGGGGCCGCCAGGCAGGTGGTCAATCCCCTTGACCCTGAGAAGGGAGGCCTGGCCCTCCTGGCTCCCAGGCAGATGCCTCCGCCCAGCTTGTACCAACTGAAGGGTGGGGGAGTTAGAAACATGGAACGGCTGTCAAACCCTCCATGCGGACAGCAGCTCTTGGGGAGAGAATCTGCCATCTGGGGCAGACGGGAGTCAATGGCTGCGTTAGCCAGGGCAGCTCTCTGGCCTTGCCGTGCAGGAGGTGAAACTAGATGATCATCATGGTCCCTCTGGCCCAGGACTCTGGCTCTGCTCCAGTAGGCAACGAAGGTGGGTGCCGGGCATAGGAAGAGCAGAATCTGCTCCCAACATGGGCAGCTTTGGGCCACTCTTCAGCACCGACGGCGGAGCCCTGGGGGAGCAGGCTGCAAAGCACCAGAGGTGGATGGATGGACAGATGGATGAAGGGTGGCTATGGGCGGGATGGAGGGAGGGAGAAGGCGTATGGGGATAGGTGGATACGGGGATGGGATGGATGAAGGGGACGTATAGGGATGGATGGATGGGATAGGTGAAAGGATGAAGGGTGTGTATAGGGATGGATGGATGGTGTGTGTTTGGAGATGGATGAATGGTGCATAGGAAGATGGATGAATGGAGGGTATAGGAATGGATGGATGGATGGGATGGATAAATGGAGGGTATAGGGATGGATGGTGCACATGGAGATGGATGAATGGTGCATATAGGGATGGATGGATGGTGCGTAGAGAGATGGATAGATGGTGCATATGGAGATGGATGGATGGTGCGTAGGGAGATGGATGGATGGGATGAAGGGTGTATATAGGGATGGATGGTGTGTATAGAGATGGATGGGATGGATGGACGGTGCATATAGGGATGGATGGACGGTGCATAGGGAGACAGAGGGATGCGATGGATGAAGGGTAGGTATAGGGATGGATGGACAGGATGAATGAAGGGTAGGTATAGGGATGGATGGATGGACAGATGGATGAAGGGAAGGTATAGGGATGGATGGACAGATGGATGAAGGGTGCCTATGGAGATAGATCAATTAATCTATCTTTATTTTCAGAACACCACACCCCCAGCAGGATACAGAGCCTGGTCCATGGCTCCCTGGGCTGAGGATGATCCAGGCCAGTAGCAACGGCGCATAACTGCTGATGGACCCTGTGTGTAATGAACTGAGTATCTCAGCTCTCACTGAGCAGGTGTCACATTGTGATCCCTCCCCCCTGACACAAATGGCTACTCACCCACCTGCTGTGAGCTGCCTCACCACAGAGGCACAGGGATGAGTGGGCTGCCCCTCCTGGGAATGGGTGGGGGAGTCTGGGGACAGGCAGAGGCCTGTTAGATAAGGGCTCATCAGGCAAGAGAGCCTGGAGTTGGCAGGAGGGTGCGATCACAGGGCACACTGAGGCTGTGGGATGGGGAGGGCCAAGGAACCCCAAGGGAGGCTGAGGCCCACATGGCATCACCCGGCGCAGCCTGTCAGGTGGGGCTGGCTGTCCATGTTTCACTGGAAGGACAGGGTTGATAAACTGCAATGCCATTTGCTGCCCTTTGTCCAGCACTGGGCACAGCCCCCCTCCTGTCAGCACCTATAGCACAAATGCCCCCCCAAGGTCACTGGCTGGCTCTGGTGCGGGCGGGAGAGGGGTGTCCGGATGTGAGTATGCAAAGCTCTATCTGGGGGGGTGTCTGTATCAAAGCAAAGGGAAAACCCTACTCCCCACTTTTACTTCTCCCGCCCTCCAGCCTGGCTGGCCAGCACTGGGCACAGCCCCCCTCCTGTCAGCACCTATAGCACAAATGCCCCCCCAAGGTCACTGGCTGGCTCTGGTGCGGGCGGGAGAGGGGTGTCCGGATGTGAGTATGCAAAGCTCTATCTGGGGGGGTGTCTGTATCAAAGCAAAGGGAAAACCCTACTCCCCACTTTTACTTCTCCCGCCCTCCAGCCTGGCTGGGGCACACCCCCCAC